TCTTTCAACTTTGTCTCTAGTGTCCATTACAGTTTTTAATACTTTTATGTTCTACAGTCTTTCAATCTCTACCATAGAGTGCAGAGTCGGTATATGTTAAATGGAGACATACAGTGTTTCTCTTTCATAGCCTGACTTATTTCACTCAGCAACAAATCTTCCATATTCATTCACTTTCTATCAAATTCTAGGGCCTTGTTTTTTTTATGGCTGAATAGTATTCCATGGAGTATATGTGCCACAATTTTTCAATCCATTCATTTGTCTGTGGACATTAGGGTTGGTTCCATGTTGTAGCAATCATGGATAATGCTGCAATGAAAATAGTTGTGCAAGTTATTTTTCGACTGAGTACTCTTCTGTTCTTTGGGTAGATATCCAGGAGTGGAATTGCTGGATCATATGGTAGTTCTATTTGATGGTATTTGAGGGACCTCCATATCGTTCTCCACAGTGGCTGGGCCAATTTTTATTCTCACCAACAGTGTAGGGGTGTTCCCCTTTCACCATATCCCCTTCAGCACTTATTTGTTTTTTTAATCTTCACCATTCTGACTGGGGTTAGGTGGTATCTCATTGTGGTTTCGATCTACCTTTTAAACACTGTTGAAATGATTGATAAAATTGCTAGGGCTGTGTGTGAATGTGTTGTGTGGTTTTATAGAAGAAAACTCATCCTTAGTAATAATGTTATTAAACTAATAACTGTACAATTTATCACAATAGGTATCTATTAAATTATTATCTTTGGAGTTTGAGGTGTCTCTGTTGACTAAGGAGACTAATTTTAAAGCTTGTATCTATAACCAGAAATTTTCTTCTATTATCATCTTTGCCCAATTAAATGTTTTTCAAAGAGTAGTCATGGCTGTGAATAAACTGCTGACTGACAATCAGCAATGTATGTTGAAGACTAGCTGTTTAGGACTGTTGAACAATTTCTTGGCATAATTTAAAATTTTTCTTGTGTGTTCTGTCCTTTATTGTGGGTAATTTTCCACCATTTTACGTTTCAATAAGATACTGCATGCATCTTGATTGTCAGCATGCATCTCTGTGAGGTCCAACCCAAAGGCCTGGTTCAGGTACCAGGTTCTAATTGTGTGACCATAGGTAACTCTTTAATTATTTTGTTGCCTCACAGAGGATAATGGAGCATTAGGATTAAATGAGATTTTATATATATACATTTTTTTCTTTTTTTTTTGAGGGGGAGAGGTTTTTGCTATAGGGCACATGTGCTCGCCAGAAAGACAGAGACAGCAGAGAGACAAAAAGCTAGAAATCACTCCCCTATCCTTTGGGTAGATACCCAGGAGTGGAATTGCTAGATCAGATGGTAGTTTTATTTGGAGGTCCCCAGCGGGGATGGCCATGCTGCAATCCCTTGTCCTCCATTCTCCTCTTGGGATCTTGGGCATGCACGTACATGCGCTCGGTGTGAGTTTAAGCCACCGGGTCCAGAACTCAAACTGTGATCGACTACATGGAAGTCCAGCAACATAGCCATTATGCCATCTGTTGGTCCCTATATATAATTTTTTAAAAACCTATATTGTCCCATGATAAATACTCCAAGGTTTCTTGTTAAAAACATATGGGAAATATGGAATCTGAGTTCAACACGTCTAGCTAGCTTACCTGTCACCTTTTGATTTTTGAAGTGCGTGGTCTGTGCTATGGTAAAATGAGAAGAAGCTTCTCTCCAGATAACTTGTTTCTTTAACTAAAACCCATTCTTTTGAAATGCAGAAAATTACAATTTTTTATTTGTAATTTGACATGTAACTAGGTAGTAGTTTCTTATGGACATTGAGCGAAATGCGTTTTTTTTTTTATTAAATGGATGTTATTTTAGTGTTAAAATAGATGTGCAAGAAATTAGGGACAGAAGTTAGGTTATGGTGAAAGAATATATGTGTTTATGAAAGGGCAACATGAGGGATCCTTGTGGTGGAACTGTTCATATCTTAGCTGTGGTGGTAGAGGTGTGAGCCCTAATAATAAACTGCTGTAGGACTGAGTACACCCCTACACACCTGCAAGTACAAATAAATTAGAGAAATCTCAATAGACTGGTAGATTGTTATTACTATAAAATACTGGTTGTAATACTGTACTATAGTTTTGCAAAATGCTACTATTGGAGGAAGCTGAGTAAAGGCTCTCTTAAAACTTCATACAAAACTGGACTGGTCTGAGGAGTATTTCATGTTGGGTAAATTTTCTTTATAAGCCAAATGATGTATAGTGATCAAATGTTTAAAATATAATAAGAATGATAAAATATGCATATATAAGTAAAGAATAAAAAAATTCATATGAATATCCAGTGATCTCAAAATCACAATTTAAAATATGGATGTGCAAATATTATATAAAGTGAATACTTTTATTTTTGTTTTCAGATTGTTCCTGCCTGATTCATAAACACAGTCGTTGGCTTTGGTGAGTTAATGTTCCAATCTTTTTATCTTCTTCCCCTAACAGTTTGTCTTCTTCATTAATATGAGAGTACTTCTTTTTTTTTTTTTTTTTTTTGAGAGGTTTTTGCTATAGGGTATGTGCACTCGCCAGAAAGATAGAGAGAGGTACAGAGACAGAAAGCAAGAAATTAACACACCCCCAGAGGGGATGGCCATGCCACAATCCCTTCCCCTCTCAGGATTGTGTGCATACACACACATGCGTCCAGCATGAGTCGAAGACACCAGGTCCGAGACTCGATCCGCAGTTGACTACATGGGAGTCCAGCGAAATAGCCATTATGCCAACTGCTGGTCCTGAGAGTACTTTTCATAGAGGTCCTAGAACAAGCATTTTTTATTTGGTTATTATATTCGTTTTTGTTATTTTTATATATTCATTCATTTATTTTAATTTGATCAGAGAGAGATACACACACACACACACACACACACACACACACACACACACACAGAGAGAGAGAGAGAGAGAGAAGGAAAGTGAGAAAGCAAGCTACCAAGTCCAGGATTTGAACCATGGTCAGCCATGTGGGAGTGTCCACCTTAACCACCATGCCACCTGCTGGTCCCCATTATATTCTTTTAAGGTCTGTCCCCCCCCCTTTTTATTTCTAGAAGGTGCTAATTATTTGAATCACACATGTTGGGCTAGCAGCATTGCTTTCTTTGGGGTGACTTCTATGGGGCTATGATCAGTGAGAGCAAAGGGCTATCTATAGCACTCTGGCTGCATTTGTATCCACCCTGCTGGACATGATGAGCTTTATCAAAAAACGTCTTTGTGGCACCTTTGATTTATACACACATTGAGTGCCATGTTGCTGGAGAAGAATTGAAATATGCTAAACTTTTTTAAAAAAGAATTATTTACATTTTATTTAATAATATTATTATTATTCCATTTGAGAAAGAGAGAATGAATGAGAAAGCAAGCCACCATGTCCCGGACTTGAAACACTGTTGTCCATGTGGGAGTCCAGGGCTTCAACAACCACCAGCTGTCTGCTGGCCCCCAAATATACTAAACTTTAAAAACAACTATAAGAACTAGCATTGTCTGAAGGTGGCTTTGTTTTTCCTCATGGTAGCAATAGAGGAGAATATTGTTACAAAGTAACGTAATAGGACTTTGCATGCTCTGACAGTGTCCAGAAATATCTTTAAATCTTGTTGTGTCAGGTTCTCTTTCACCTATTTTGAGGCCACACCTCTCTAATACAGTCTTTCCTGAAGTACATGCCTTGGTTTACTCATTCTTGGGAATATTAACTGATACTACATGAAAAGGGGGCTCATGGTTATATAAATTTGGAGGAAAAGCTGCATTAAAATTAAATTAGACTTTTTATTTTCAATGACTGATTATCTCAGGGGGACTTTGCTCTATGGTGTTTCTCAGATGTATTTTACATGCAGCCCCCAGCACATCAAATATACCACAGGACTGGTACCCCATGGAACATTATTTTTGGAAATATTGTCTTAGGTGTTAGGAAATTGATGTACAGGACAGGATCAACTGTACATTTTTAATAACGATAGCAAAATAAAATAAGGACATTTGAGCAAAATTGGAGGATGTTATAAAGAGAATATTGAACTAGCTTAAAACAGCTGACGTAAATAATGCTTGTTAATATAGTTGAAGAACAACAGAGAAATGTAATATCTAAAAGTAAGTATATGTGATGCATTTTTGTTACAGTCATCTACTGAGTTCATGTTGTTGTTTCTTTCACCCTGAAGATTCAGGTCTAGGCTCACTGTCTTTTTCTCTAAGACTAGCAAGTCCTAACTCTTGTCCTAAGGCTACAGAGAGTCCTTCCAAACATCCTGGCTTCTCAGTTTCTTGACTTCTTGTCTTTCAATGATCTTTTCCTCCAAACTGCTTCAGCTGCTTCCTCCACGGTCACACTCTACACTTAGTTACTCACAGTGGACGTGTTCGCTCCACCTGTTCTCCCTCCCGGTATCCCATTTTCCACCAGTCTCCCAACTCCAAGTTTGAGCTCCACCGGAACCTATCATGGTTACCCTACCCTAGACGTCCCTATTGTCCTCATATCCTTCCACACTCCATGTAAATGGCCTGCCCTGGCGTTAGACCACTCATACTCTCATCTCTCTTATCCAGCCAAACACAACTGGAGAAAAATACCCACCCCTGCTCACTGATCTCTCTAACCGTTTGATTGCTAACCTCAAGGGAGCCCCTAAGGTTTTTTGGCCACTTAAACAGTTAATTCCTAGGAAATTATTTACTCAGTTTTACTTATTACTGACATTATTTATTTGCTATAGGACATGTGTACTTACTGGAGGGGGGAGGGGGCACAGAGAAAGTAAGCCAGTAGGTCTGAGACTGGAACCGCAGTTGGCCATGTAGGAGCCCAAGACCTTAACCCCCATGCCACTTACTGGCCCCAGAAAATATTTTAAGACCTATTTTTCCCAATAAACTTAGGTCCTCTCCCCTATTTTCCTTCTCAGTTAATGTCCCTGCTTCCTTTTTTTTTTTTTTTTTAACTGTCAGCTCCCTGTCACGGTGTCTATCCATCCTCCCACCCCTAACTGCCCTTCTTTTTTTCACATTTTAAATCCTCCCCCCTTATTTAAATAAAAGAAATTAATTCTTATTCCTCTTTGGTTACCACGCCACCTAATTTCTGTGCTTCCTCTTACACATTTTCTTGGTTTTTCTCCCCATTCTGTGTTGATCCTGTTTCAGGCAGTCTTTGGTTCCCACCATTCCACCAGAACTCCCCATATCAGCAGTTACCTCCCTGTTGCAGATCCAGCACTTAGAAGTTGGTGGGCATCTCACTGGCCTGTCAGTAGTGCTCACCAAATTGATCACGTGGCTCCGTGAAACTTTCTTCCCTTGTCTTCTGAGTCTCCACATTTTCCAAGGTGCCCTCCTGTTGCCATGACTACTCTTATCTGTTTCTTGCAGATAACCCCCTCATTGTCCTGACCTCCAAACTGTTGGGTGACCCAGGGCACAATCTTTGGGCTTTTTCTCGACACTCTCTCCGTAGCTGATCTCATTCATTTTCATAGTTTTAATACTTGGTAATTTCTAGATTTTTTCCAGTGTGAATCTCCTCTGAACTCGATTCAAATATTCAACGGCTGAATGTCAGATAGGCATTTCAAACCTCAGGTGTTTACAGCTTACCTTCTGCATTCACCTCTGCTCCAGACTAAATATCTGCTTCCTCTGTCTTCCTCGTCTCAGTAAATGGCAAGTGTTCTTCACTTGCTCAGGCTAGATGCCTTGGCACCATCCTCACCTCTTCTTTCATTCTCACGTCCAGCTGTCCGGAGACACTGTCTGCTCTACCGATACCTACCCAGAAGCGCTTCTCCCCACCCTTGCTCTGTAGGTGCAAGCCTTCATCATGTTTATTGCCATCTCTTTCTAACTGGTCTCTCTGCTTTTATGCCTTTTCCCCTATAATTCATTCTCCAAACAGCAGCCAAATACATTATTTAACACCCTAAGTCTGATTGTGTTTCTTTTCTGTTCCAATGTCTGCCGTGCCTCTCTATCTCACTTACAGAACCTTATCAGCTCCGACGTGACAGGGGCCCCCGTTACCTTCTGCCTAATCCCCTGTTGCTCTGTAACCCACCACTTTACCTCCACCAATGTTCTTACTCCTGCATCAAGGTTTTGTACTTACTCTGCCCAGAAATATCCACATGACTTGCTTCTTTGCCGCCTTCAGATGCTTGCTAAGTTGTCATCAGGTCAGCCTGCCCTGACCAGCCTGTTTTAAATTGATGCAGTTTCCCCTCTAAACCCTGCTGGTATTCTCCATCACTTCATTACTTACCTTTCCTACTCACCCTCTGGTATCTATTTTCCTTCTTTCATTCACAGATAAGCTTCACAGGGATAGGAATTTCTATGTGTTTTTTTTTTTCTTCCATACTGAATCTCCAGGACTTAGGACATTGCCACCTAAACAGTACCTCAATAAATGTTGATTGAAGGGAGAAGAAAAGTCAGAGAAAAAAGGTTTTAATTTGCTATAGAACACATGCTCTCACCAGAGATAGAGAAAAAGAGAGAGAGGGAGAAAGAACCCCTGACCCACCCGAGGGGAGATAGCCATGCTACAGTCCCTTTTCCTTTAGGGTTTTGGACACATGCACACGTACCCGTAATGTTTTCCCAGCTGCTGGGTGTGGGACTTGAACTGCATACCTGGCCGTCTGAGATCTAGCAGCCTTAACCACCATACCACTGGCTGGCCCAAGAAAATATATATATATATGGTCCACAAAGACAGGAAAGTGGGATGAGGGAAAGGGATTGTGTAGAAGTTACTGATTTTGCCTAATATACCTTTCTCTGGTTGCCTCCTGGCCATAGAGGTGGCTCAGTGACTCCACCCGGGCCAACCTCTTTATTATAAAGTGGTAATGCAAATAGAAGGGATTGTGACTTTATATTGACAGGATTTACGTTTTCTGCCATGATGTAATAAGAGGGACTGGGTTTATGCTGCTGCACGAAACAGCAAGAAAATAACAAAATATAAAATACATGTAACAGGGTAAGTCAAGTGGCACAGTGTTGTCTGAGATGACTGGATCCCACATGACCGGCTCCACAGTTCTTATCCTGGACCTGGTGGCTTGGAAAATCACACTGGGGGGGCTGGCAGGTGGCATGGTGGTTAAGGGCGCTGGACCTCCACATGGCTGACTGTGGTTCGAATCCCAGACCTGGAGGCTTGCTTTCTCACTTTGTCTGTCTGTCTGTCTGTCTCTCTTTCTCTCCTCACCCTCCCTGGCTACATTTAAAATAAATAGATAGGTAGATAAAGGTAAAGTAAAGATGATTTTTTAAAAAAAGAAAAGAAAAATCACATTGGGTGCATGTACTTACGTGCCAAAATCCCAAGAGGAGACTGGAAAAGAGATTGTAGTGTGTGTGGCCATTTCCCCAGA